CACACTTCACCTGTCCTGTACCATCACACCACTACACTTCACCTGTCCTGTACCCCACCGACCACTCCACCCTTGCCCCCACCACCACCACCCCACCCTTCCCATCATGTTGCCACCATCACCACCACATTTCACCTGTCACCATGCCACCACCACACATATCACCTGTTCCTGTTCCACCACCACCACCACACTTCACCTGTCCCTGTACCACCACCACGACCACTTCACCTGCCCTGTACCCCCACCAACACCACACCACACTCACCTCCTGTACCACCACCTCCACCACATTTCACCTGTCCTGTACAACCACCACCACCACACTTCACCCGACCTGTACCACCACCACCATATCATGTTCTGTTCCACCACCACCACACACACTTCACCTGTTCTGTACCACCACCTCCACACTTCACCTGTTCTGTACCACCACCACCACATATCACCTGTCCCAGCCACCACCACCACCACCACCACACACTTCACCTGTCCTGTACCACCACCACGACCACACTTCACCATGTTCTGTACCACCACCACCACCACACATTACCTGTCCTGTACCACCACCGACCACATTTCACCTGTTCTGTTCCACCACCCCACCACATATCACCCTGTCTGTGCCACCACACCTACCTTCACCTGTCTGTACCACCACCACCACACTTCACCTGTCTGTACCACCACCACCACAACCTTCACCTGTCTGTACCACCACCACCACACTTCACCTGTTCTCCAGCCACCACCACCACCACCACCACCACTACACTTCACCTGTCTGCCACCACCACCACCACTACACTTCCAGCTGTCTTCTCCCATGCCACCACCACCACAACACTTCACCTGTCACCTGCCATCACCACCACCACATATCCTGTCTGTGCCACCACCACAACACTTCACCTGTCCTGTACCACCACCCAACCTTCACCTGTCCTGTACCACCACCACCACCTTCACCTGTCTGTATCACCACCACATATCACCTGTCTGTGCCACCACCACAACACTTCACCTGTCCTGTACCCACCACCACAACACTTCACCTGTCCTGTGCCAACCACAACACTTCACCTGTCTGTACCACCACCACCACACTTCACCTCTTCTGTACCACCACCACCACCACCACCACCCTTCACCTGTTCTGTACCACCACCTCCACACTTCACCCTGTTCTGTACCACCACCTCCACACTTCACCTGTTCTGCCTCCCTTCCTGTGCCTGCAATCCTGTACCACCTCCACTTCACCTGTTCTGTACCACCACCTCCACACTTCACCTGTTCTGTACCACCACCACCACATATCACCTGTTCTGTACCACCACCTCCACACTTCACCTGTCCTGTACCACCACCACACATATCACCTGTCCTGTACCACCACCACCATCACCACACTTCTGTCCTGTACCACCACCACCACCACTTCCACCTGTTCTGTACCACCATCACCACCACCACACACTTCACCAGTCCTGTACCAGCATAACCACCTTCCACCTGTCCTGTACCACCACCACCACCACTACACTTCACCTGTCCTGTACCACCACACCACTTGACCAGTCCTGTACCACCATCACCACAATTCACCTGTCCTTACCACCCACCACCACACTTCACCTGTCCTGTCACCACCACCACCACTTGACCAGTCCTGTACCACCATCACCACAATTCACCTGTCCTGCCACCACCACCACACTTCACCTGTCCTGTACCACCACCACCATCCACCACACTTCACCTGTCCTGTACCACCATCACCACCACTTCACCAGTCCTGTACCATCACCACCACCACCACACTTCACCAGTCCTGTACCAGCACCACACTTCACCTGTCCTGTACCACCACCACCACCACACTCACCCTGTCCTGTACCACCACCACCACACTTCACCAGTCCTGTCCACCACCACCACCATCACCACACTTCACCTGTCCTGTACCACCACCACCACACTTCCACCTGTCCTGTACCAACCACCACACTTCACCTGTCCTGTACCACCACCACCACCACATTTCACCTGTCCCTGCCACCACCTCCACACTTCACCTGTCCTGCACCAACACCACCACCACATTTCACCCTGTCCTGTACCACCACCATTTCCTGTCCTGTACCACCACCATCACCACACTTACCTGTCCTGTACCACCATCACCACCACTTCACCAGTCCTGTACCACCACCACCACACTTCCCCTGTCCTGCACCACCACCACGACCATTTCACCTGTCCTGCCACCACCACCTCCACACTTCACCCTGTCCTGCCAACACCACCACCACATTTCACCTGTCACCTGCCACCACCACCATCACCACACTTCCTGTCTCCACCATCACCACCACTTCACCAGTCCTGTACCACCACACCACCCATTTCACCTGTCCTGTACCACCACCACCACATTTCACCTGTCCTGTACCACCACCACATTTCACCTGTCCCAGTACCACCATCACCACCACTTCACCAGTCCTGTACCACCACCACCACATTTCACCATCTGTACCACCACCACCACCACATTTCACCTGTCCTGTACCAACCACCACATTTCTGTCCTGTACCAACACCACCACCACATTTCACCTGTCCTGTACCCACCCACCACCTTCCTTTGTCACCCACCACCATCACCACATTTCACCTGTCTTACCACATCACCACTTCCAGTCCTGTACCACCACCACCACACTTCACCCTGTCCTGTACCAACACCACCACCACATTTCACCTGTCCTGCACCACCACCATCACCATCCTTCACTGTCCCTGCACCACCACCACCACCACATTTCACCTGTCCTGTCTCACCACCACCATCACCACATTTCACCTGTCCTGTACCACCACCACCACCACATTTCACCGGCCTACTACCACCACCACCACCACATTTCGCCATTCCTGTACCACCACCACCAAACCGAAGCTGTCCTCTACCACCACCACCACATTTCACCTGTCCTGTACCCACCACCACCACCACCACCACCACCACACTTCACCTGTCCTGTACCACCTCCACACTTCTCCTGTCCTGTACCACCACCACCACCACTTCACCTGTCCGTATGCCACCACCTCCACACTTATCCAGTCCTCTCCCACCACCACCACTTCACCTCTGTACCTCCCACTTATCCTGTCTCTACACCACCACCACACTTCACCTTTGCCACCACCTCCACACTTATCCTGTCTCTACCACCACCACACTTCACCTGTCCTGCCACCACCTCCACACATCCTGTCTCCTACCACCACCACCACCTTCACCTGTCCTGTACCACCACCACCACCACATTTCACCTGCCTGTAACCACCACCACCACCACCACCACCACCACACTTCCTGTCTGCCACCTCCACACTTCTCCTTCCTGTACCACCACCACCTGCCTGTGCCACCACCACCACCACCACACCTCTCCTGTACCACCAACACTTCTCCTGTCCTGTCCTGTCCTGTCCTGTCACCACACCACCACCACCACCACACTTAACTGCCTGAACCACCACACTTAACCTGTACCACCACCACACTTCAACTTTTGTAGTACCACCACCACCACTACCACTACCTCTCCCGTACCACCACCACTTCCTCTGTCCTGTCCTGTCCTGTGCACCGCCACCACCACCACCAAACTTTACCTGTCGCACCACCACCACCACCACCACCACCACATCATCACACTTCACCTGACCTCGTACCACCACCACCACCACCTCCACCATCACACTTCACCTGTCTTTCACCTTACCACTTCACCTGTTCTAGTACCCAGGATACACCACACAATGTGTTCTAGTTCCCATGATACACTACACCACGTGTTTTAGTACTCAGGATACACCACACCACGTGTTCTAGTTCCCAGGATACACCACACCACGTGTTCTAGTACCCAGGCGTGGGTGTTGCCTCGTACTCCCGTAGTACAGTAAGGATGTCATCACTGGAACCATTACTATACACAATAGGAATGAACAAGAAATACATAATCAATATGGGTCAAGATAATCAAGTCTCCAACACTTCTTCGCTCTGTAGGATTTAAGTTTTCTCCTTACAAACCCAGGCTCGTTTAAGTGTTTGTCAACAGGGTGATAATTTATTTGTTTATGAGTTCAGTGGAGTAATCATGGAGGGTCGTGACCATTGGTGCCTGATGTGGGAAACCGCTGTCCTGCAAACAAGTGACAGTCGTGCTTAAACGCCACCGTCGGCCTCTGTGACACAAGTACTTTCTACTAAAATAAAATAAAATAATAATTTCCAATGTTTACAATTATTTTACTTGTTGTTTATTACGGTTGAATTAGAAATACCTTATTTTACATTAAACAGCAGGTAAATAAATCACAGGTACGTTGGATTATAAGATAATACCACAGAGGTAACAGAGTAATCCGAAAGGGGGAAATAATCCTTATTGAGGAGAATTTAACGAGTCGTCGCCCTCTTCTAGCCTGACGGGTACGCGCTCTTCTGTCCAGCTTGGCGATTATCACTTGTTTTGTTCCATAAGCGACTAAATCGAATTCTATAACTGACAGGCTGCATGAGGACTAAACCTGAAGCGACTTCACTATGGCTAGAGGTACTATAACCAAGGTATCCACGGTTATCCTCCCTGATATACTGTAGGTAGAAGTTATATATGGTAACGGAGGTTGTAACAGGAGGTGGACAATGTCGTCTTTTGAAGAAAATAAAACAAGGAAATTAACGAATGTACACCCACTAAAGAATTATTCGGCACCCGTGTCATGTTGTATCACGCAGTAAGGGTTGAATAATTTGTGGGATTACAATATAGAGTGAATCGTAGCACAATATGAATATTAGGTTTTCTCAGTAAACTATATATGTTGAAAGAGCATATTAGTGTATAATTATATACATTAAGGTGCTAACAATTTATTAATTCGGCTATTATTATTATTTATTACAGTGTTGGAACTCGTGTGGGATTCTCCGTCACCATCTCACTGTGTGGACGTCCATGTGCACCGATCACACCGCCTGTGTACGTAAGCTATATCTTCCATGTGTGTGTGTATGTGTGTGTTATTCTAGTGTGTTTAGAGTGTCCCATAGGTGTCCACAGTGTCCTAAGTGTTTTTAAAATGTCCATGGGTCTCTAAAACTTCATAAGAATGTTAACAGTTTCCATGGTGTCCACAATATACCACGGGTGTCCACAATGTCCCATGGGTGTCCATAGTGTCCCACGGGTGTCCAAAATGTCCTACAAGTGTCCACAGCTTTCCACGGGTACCCACAGTATCCCACGGGTGTCCACAGTGTCCCATGGGTGTCCGCAATGTCCTAGGGATGTCCACAGCTTTCCAAGATTACCAATAGTGTCCCGGGGGTGTCCACAATGTCCCACGGGCGTCCACAGTGTCCTGGGGTGTCCACAGTGTCCCACTGGTGTCCACAGTGCTCCACAGGTTTGCACGATGATTCACGGATGTTCACAGTGTCCCACATGTGTCCACAGTGTCCCATGGGTGTCCAGTGTCTCACAGGTGTCCACAGTGTTCCATGGGTGTCCACAGTGTCCCACATGTATCCACCGTGTCCCACAGGTGTCCACAGAGCCCGCAGGTTTCTACAGTGTCCCAAGGGTGTCCACAGTATTCCACATGTGTGCACGATGATTCACGGAGGTTCACAGTGTCCCATAGGTGTCTACAGTGTCCCACAGGTGTCAACAGTGTCTCACAGGTGTCCACAGTGTCCCACTAGTGTTCACATTGTTCCATGGGTGTCCACAGTGTCCCACAGGTGTCCACAGTGTCCCAAGGGTGTCCACAGTGTCTCACGGTGTCCACAGTGTCCCACGGTGTCCACAATGTCCCACGGGTGTCCACAGTGTCTCACGGGTGTCCACATTGTTCCATGGGTGTCCACAGTGTCCCACAGGTGTCCACAGTGTCCCAAGGGTGTCCACAGTGTCTCACGGGTGTCCACAGTGTCCTACGGGTGTCTACAATGTCCCACGGGTGTCTACAATGACCCACGGGTGTCCACAATGTCTCACGGCTGCTACAGTTTCCTAAGGGTGACCAGTGTCCCAAGAGTGGTCCACAGTGTCTCATGGGTGTCCACAGTGTCCCAAAGGTGTCCACAGTGTTCCACGGGTGTCCACAGTGTCTCATGGGTGTTGTGATGTGACGTGAGTCCCGGAAGTAGAAAGGAGGATAGAAACCACCGCAATAACAACAAATCATAGCTAGACCACGTGTGCAGGGAACTGGTCGAGCCGGTTGCAACGTCAGAGATGACTTTATGGCACCACTGGAAAACGGATGCGTGATTGGTTGTAGATTCCCGCCAAAATGTGATGTGGTGGCCATGGTAGGATGGAGAAGCAGGTTTGACGTGACTGAGGAAGGTGGAAACGGTGGAAGGAGTTCAACACATAGCAAAGAAATAAGCTTGGGTATACAATATATTGTTGAGAATGTGTGAGTCAAGGAAAGTGGAGGAAGAATAGGATATAATATTTTTTTGTGTATAGGATGTAATATTGTGTACCAGACTTAAATGATATTAACATTATAGTGGTGAAACAACGGTTACGTTATATAATTTTCTTTGTATTGTGTTGATTGGTGTACTCTAACCCTCCATATTATTTGCTTAATTGTCACTGTAATTATGATTAACGTAACTTCTGTTTATGCTTGCTGAGTTATGAATATTCCCAAATCGCGTTAATACTTAGTAAACCTATCTTTTGATTCATGTTTATTATGTACTTTTGTCAGATGCTTTATTTTCTTTTGTTAAAGGAATTTGTTTTCTCGTTTACTCTAGTGTATTGCTTATTCCTTTCATTTATTAATTTCATTGGCGACCTTGTTATTTTTTACTCTGTTGCCGAGGTGGGGAACCTATGGTTTGACACAGTCTAGGACCACCAGTCCGTAACAGTGTCTACAGTATCCCAGGGGTGTCCACAGTGTCCCACGTGTGTCCACAGTGTCCCACGGATGTCCACAGTGTCCCAAGGATGTCTACAGTGTCCCACGGGTGTCCACAGTGTCCCTCAGGTGTACACAGTGTCCCACGAGTGTCCACAGTGTTCCACGGTTGTTCACAGTGTCCAATGGGTGTCCACAGTGGGAACGCGTGTCCATAGTTTCCCACGGATATCCACAGTGTTCCACAGGTGTCCACAGTGTCCCACGGATGTCCACAGTGTCCCAAGGGTGTCCACAGTGTCCCACGGGTGTCCACAGTGTCCCACAGGTGTACACAGTGTCCCACGAGTGTCCACAGTGTCCCATGAGATTCCACAGTGTTCCACGGTTGTCCGTAGTGTCCCACAAGTGCCCACAGTGTTCCACGGTTGTTCACAGTGTCCAATGGGTGTCCACAGTGGGAACGCGTGTCCATAGTTTCCCACGGATATCCACAGTGTTCCACGGTTGTTCACAGTGTCCCACGGGTGTCCATAGTTTTGTATTAGCCCCCGTCTCATAGACAAGTCTTTGTATAAATATGGGGCAGTACATTTGTGTCATATAATCATATCACCCCCTGTGATTTTCGACTAGCTAGGAGGTGACATGGTCAGATCACGTGATGGGTAAGTTCCACCCTTGAGATAGCTCTAGAAATTCTAGGTCAGCTATTAGAAGCCGGCTAGCACACTCACTATCATCTCAACTCCCACACCAACCGGACATATTAGTAGGGCTTATCTAAGATAGCGTCCATCCTCATTTAACACCATACAGTAATTAATTACAGTGATAAACATTTGTAACTGTATTGAATATATTTTCCTAAATAAAAACAGAAAATGACCATTTGGGTTTTGCTACTGAAACCCAATAAACTTTATAATATTCTAGCTCCATTACTTAATCAAGAATCTATGGTAAAGGCGTAAGATATTATTATTGTTATTATTATTAATGTTATTGTTATTATTGTTATTGTTATTATTGTTATTGTTATTGTTATTATTGTGTTATTATTGTTAGTGTTATTATTATTATTATTATTATTATTATTATTATTATTATTATTATTATTATTATTATTATTATTATTATTATACCACTTGCCATAATTTCAGTTTCCTGGTTGCCAAGTTGCCTGTTCTTTCTATATGGATAAAACTGGTAGTGGCAGGGGTGGGGCCAGCCCATTCCTAGATACACCCCCTCTTCGCCTCCCCGCCTTTCTACCCCCGCCCAGAGTCAGTGGGAGGAGCCAGGTTACATGGGGGCCCCCTGATTGGTCAGCAAACGCTGGTTCCTCCAGTCAGGATGACGTCATCTCCAGGGAGGACGTCATATCTCGAGATGACCTCAGAAGTCGGGATGACGTCATATATGTGATGCTAATGCACGGTGATGGTGGATGGCGGGAAATTGTACAGGTAAATCAGCTTAGTCATAATTAAGGCATCCTAGCTATAGTCAAGACCGCCCATGGGGCCAATTACAATATTGTTGATTACAGTTACGATTTAAATGTTCAATTTTCATTTTCTTCAATACGATTAGGATTACATAATCGAAATATCAGAATTTTGGATTATGATTATAATTATTACAGTTATGTTTCTTGATTAGATTACGATTATGATTACATTGGCTTCTATACATTTCATTGTGATTATAACTTCCCTGGATTATAATTGCATTTGTGATTACATTTACAAGAAATTGGTTAACATTTGATTACACAAAACCTACGTAATAAGAATCAACTAAAAAATTCAAAATTGATCTCTGTAGATAAAGTATGTGTCAAATAAAAAAAAACAACAGCAGTGAGTAGCACAAAATATCCACTAAGCTAGTATCCATAACGTTATGTGGGGTGGAACATGAAGGACCTGCAGTACTGTACGGTGGTGGGCATCATAGTAGCCTACTGGTCACATGGCCACAGTATAATGTTACACATTACACTACGGTATAGTCACGTGGCGCCAAGTTGACTTGCCCAACTACTCAAAGTGGGGATAAAATTGAAATGCAATCCTGCAAGAAATCGAATATTATATGTAATACATTTGTAATCATATTGTAATCCGATAATAAGATTTTTTTGCTGGGTTACGATTATAATTACGATTACAAACTATGGAAGAAGCTATATTATCATTACAATATGATTACAGGTTTTGAAAATTAGAATTATGACTAGATTACGATTATAAAATTAGAAATTATTTTGATTACAATTACGATTGTGAATATACCGTAATCAATTATGAGTACAAGATTATAATTATAATCAGCCCCCTGTCTGGTTAGACATCAAACTATAGTTAAAACATCCTTACCACAAAACATAAGTAAGACATTGTGAATGTTCTGTTAGTACGACATTACTGTTTGTTCCTGCCTCATACTATATCTTTTATGACAGGTAAACCATCAATATAAATAATGGTTTTGTATGATTTCCACAACTTATTTTCCTAGTTTTGGGATTACCTGAAGAATAGCCACCCAAGTTTATTTCAACAACAGATTGATAACCATAATATATAATCTGACCTAACCTACACTATCCTAACCTAATGTTAATCTAACCTAGCCTCAACTATTGTATCTTAAACTAATACTAACCTAACCTAACCAAATCCTACCTAACCCCCCCTCAGGTAGCATTAGGGTGTTTAATCATCAGATGAAATAAACTCTAATCGTCAGGTGACCCCTTTTTTAACCCTTGGTCATACTAGATGATAAAGGTGTGTTACTGGCACTTGTGTACAATAATCAACGCAGCTGGTTACGGGATGGTCGTCCGATTTGGGATGAGACGTGGTCGGATGTTGGTATGTTTGAGTCAGTAACGAAGAAACATTAGGCTGTATGAAAGTGGATATGCACGATAGATATGGGCGTGCACGATAGATTATATTGCACCATTAGCCAGATATGGGCGTCCACGATAGATTATATTGGGCCATTAGACAAATATGGGCGTGCGTGATATATAATATTGGACTATTAGACAGATATGGACGGGTGTTCGATAGATTATATTTGACGATTAGACAGATATGGGCGTGCACGATAGATTATATTGAACCATTAGCTAGATGTGGGCGGGGTTATCGAAAGCCAAATTAGGGTATCTTGTATGTATGAGGAGTACGGTGGCTGAGTGGATGCAGTGCTCACCAACTGTCCTAAGAGGTCGGTGTTCTGCACCTGCACATCTCTTAGTTTGGGAAGTGAAGTGAAGGCGATCCAGTACAGCAACGGCTACAACGCTTTCGTGTACACCAAAGGCTTACTCTTCAGTGTACCCTTATCCACACTGCCCCTAACAAGCCATCAGACTTGTAGGACTCAATTTCATGCATTAGTGACAGTTTAGAATCAACGGTATTTTTTGTTGCCTTTCTCCAGTATTCATATTGTGTGATGTTAGGTTGTCACTGTAATGTGACTTACATATCAGTCTACTTGTGTCACTATACTTTCCCTTGATAAAGTGTCATCCATCACTGCCACTCTTGTAGACGTCCGCCACGACCGCCCGTATACCTCCTGAAGCTACATGGCCTCTGAGAGTGAGACTCTTGGCCGTCAATCAACAGGGACTAGTCGCTGTCTCCGAGGTCTCCCTTAACCTTGACAACATCTCCAAGGACCACCTCCCAAACTTCTTTGATGTACCAGACTACAGGGATCACCACCATCTTCACGACACTCCGACTACCGAGGTCCCGTATGGCTACAAGGTAATTCTTCTCTTTCCCATTTCAATAGAGTCTTTTACAGGTAAGAGGATCACAGTCGTATACTTTCACCCTGGACATATGAGAGCCCCCTGCTGGCTGGTGCTGCTCTCACTCTACTCCATTGTGGGACTATCATGTATTTATTATTATTTTTTAATATAATGAAAAACTCAGTGTCTCAGGTGTTTGCTTCAGACCTGGGGATTGGCAACCACAGCCCACCACTTCAGACATTTGTATTAATGTATTATTTGAAAGTTTCTAACTAGTGCAGATTTTCAAAATCCATGTATGTAATGTACTGTAAACAGTTCACTCAAAAATATAACCTCAGTCGTTAAATGAAATGAGAAAATGTCAAAAGTTTCATCATTAAAAACAAACTGTACTGTACTCATAAAATTTATGAGAAGAGTTATATGTAATAATGAAGGACTAAAAGTTAATGGTAAAGTAATATAAAATATATGCTATGTGGATGATACTGCTCTTATCACGATAGTGAAGAGGCGTTACAAACTTCGGTAACAGATTAGTGGAAAAAGGTGAAGAATGTGGGTTAAGAGTTGATGCTGTAAAGACTAAAGTAAAATCCTAAAATAAACAATTATGGCAGACAAGAGGGAGCTTAAACAAGTGGAAAATTTGGTGTATTTGAGAAGTAACATTAACTGTGATGGCTGAGGTACGGAATAAATCATAACAGGAATAAGTCAAGTGAAAACAGCATTTAATAATATAAAAGACCTAATGAAAAGGGACATTAACTGCAGTTTGAGAGAAAAGCTGCTGAAAGGCTTAATATGGCAAGGACTGATGTAAGGGTCAGAAGCGTGGACACTTTGAGCAGACACCAGAGAGAGGTTAAAGCCTTTGAAATGTGGTGTTATTGGTGACTGTTAAGAATAAGCTACAGTGACAGGAGAACAAATGAAGTACTAAGATTAACTAAAACTTTAAGAGAAATACTTGAAATGCACAGAAAAAAAAATAGGTACTCTGGTCATATAATTTGGGATGAGGGAATAATAACGGAAATATTAATAGGAAGAAGAAAATGTAGGGAGGCTGATCTTCAGATGATTTTTAATATAATTTTGGATCATATGAAGATCTTCCTCCAAAGTATCCAACTGAAGATCCACCCCCCCAGTCGCGCTCATATGAAGATCCACCTAACCTAACCTAACCTATTGAGTACTTGGGCAAAATCTGACTATATATATATATACCAACACAAATGTGGTCATAGTGACGTCAGGTCAGGTAAGGTCAGATTTGGTCATTGGTCAGGTCAGATCCTCCCATCCAGGCTGTCATATGAAGATCCTCCCCCCCAAGTAGGTTTGGGGGAGGATCTTCATATGATCCTGTTAAACAATAATATTCCACAATGGTTACTGTATAATAATAATAATGATAAATTTCTATCATCAGCTGAAGGCGGGGAGGACGCAGCCACCATCACCAGTAGGAGGCGAGAGCGTCATCAGCTTCCCTAACAACAGCTCTGTTTTTGATAGCTCTGGTGACGGGTCTAGCAGCCACCCCGGACACACCCTCGACTATACACCCATCCACCCAGCTGGCCAAACACACCCACACACAGCTTACAATCAAGACAAAAGTGAACCACCTCCACAAGCTGCCTCAGTAAGAAATGTAGCTAACAACAAGAGTTGGTAATAATATGTAATTTTGACCAATTTGACTATTTGTTGTAATAACTCAGGAGTCAGGTAGTAATAAATTTACTCAGTATATCATTCTTGCAGGTAGATCCATCTTGGACCCTTCAGATAGTGGACGTGGAGCTCGGTACACTGGCTGAGGTGATGGTGTCTTGGGCGCCTCGTGGGTCAGGGAGGGTGGAATACCTTCTCTCGTGGATTGAAGAGTCAGGTTTTGTGTCTGGCCACTTGTTGACTGATCAAGTTACCAGCGAGTTGTCCCTCTGGCCAGGTCAAGCATATTTTATACAGGTTAGGAAGTCATATTTATTTTGTTATATTTTTTACTCAACTTTCTAAAAAGCATTTTACCTCTCTGTTTGTTTACATCAAAACCCCATAAAAGGTAGTCTTTGTTTATCGTTATCATTAAACATATTATATTTAGATTTCCAGAACATTGGAATTGATGGTACCATAATCTGCAACCGTTAAATAATTAGTCAAGTGGATTATGATGCCTGTCCAATGAATTATCAGCTTTCAATATTGTACAAGTTGAGGTAAATTCCGAGATAAATTATTTATTTTTTATATACAATTATCAAATGTTGTTCATCCTCTCCCGTTGTTGTGAGGACGGGTCAAGGGAGACAGAAACATTAAAGATTGGACTTAATGATGTGGTAGAGTGATTCAAGAGGAGTGTAGAAAGCAATATTAAAGTATCTGGACAATAATAGTCCAGTGAAATGCTTTGACAATCATATAATGTGAACCCGAAATTGTCGGTACCACAAGGTTTTTTTGGTGGATTTGTAATCCTCGGGGGTCATAGACATCAGATCCAGGTGGTGTAACTTTACCAGCATTAGCTCGTAATTTGCGTAAATTTAAGATGGCTGCCACCCAAACTAGGTCAGACAGGAAAATGATCAAAATTATTGATAGGAACTTTCTAGAAAAGTGATTTAGGTGTCTACAGGGGTTTGGGCATAGCGGACCGAATGAAGGTGTCAGAAATGAATTTTAATGTTGCTAAGAAACAAAAATTTATTCATTGAAAAAAATCGAATTTTCCATTTGTGAAGCAAAACATGAAAATATCTCAGACAAAATATATCCAATTACAACTTGATTATTTGATCCACACACACAACTCATTGATTTGGTGGCTGTACAATGATGTCACATAGCTTCACAACTGCAACATGTGGAGCAACCGCATAAATTACCACAACCACCATAGCGAAACAGCCACACGAACCCACGTGGTTGTCACGGTTGGGAAACAATAACAAATGAGGGTTGAGAGCTGTGTTGCCCTTATGAACTGTACAGTATGTTACAATAATAGATAGAGTGAACAATGTTTTTAGATGTTTACAGTGATAAATCTTGAGTAACTTGTATTACAGGTGACCATTTTTTTTACGAAGATTAGCCCACTGGGGCATAGGTCACTGACCCACATCAGGGCCTGGGGCTACAATAATAATTATACTACTACTACTACTACTTTTTTTTTTTTAGCTCCAGCCTCCCCCAATAGCCACACCTTCGCCACCATTTTATTACCTTAATATTAAATATCCTAATACATAAGTAGCTATCCTATCTGTGTTGAATTAGTTGAGCACTGAATCTATCGGCATTCAGTGACTGTAGCCTCATAGTCAATATCTGCAGCAGTTGTTGGGATGGCAGACTCTCGTTCCCTGAGGCAGAGCAAAGCCGACCGAAGAGAAAAGACAGTCGACATCTCATCCAGGCTGTAACGTAACTTCTGGGCTGCTGCTTCTGTTCAGAGATCACCTCCAGGAGTCTGGCGTGAAACATCTTGCACTTGGTCCCATCCACAGAGGTTGTGAACACTAGAGGAGTGAAGCTGCCTTGATCAACGTTTTGAATTCTCCCACCTATGCCCTTCTCTTGTCGTTCTCGTTCCTCCTATGTGCAGCATTGAGAGCTAAGTTACGGTGACATGCGGCCATGGGATAAAAATCCTGATGTCGAAAAAGCTTGCTGTCCCCGCGTCCAGAATCCTCGAGCACTGATGTCCACACGGGCCGTTAGATGTGGTTGAAGTCCTGTGTTGGAAGATCTCACCATCCAATGGAAGGAGGTCGGTTCTACCATGAAATCCGGCAGATTTCCTTCAACTAATATTGCGGTGAGGTCCCTTGCCTCGTCATGCCTCATGCATATGAACCCCTTTCTTGCACACCATGGCGTGATCGCCATCACAGGAAGAGCCACACACGCATTGGGAGGGCAAACCTTCTACTGGCTGACCGTACCTTAGAGCAATGGCATCTGTAAATTCTTGTTTATTAAGACTGAAACCATTTGCCCTTATTGGTAACGTAGTTAACAGTTCGAGGCCCACCTCCTCTTCTATAGCTACCTTTTATTTAAATTTTCTGGTACCTGCAGCAACAGTTGCTGCAACTTATCATGGCAGTGCTGTCGATCTGTCATAATGGACCTCTGAATCTTATTTACTTCTGGTATCCACCTCCCTTGTTGCATTCTGGGCTATTATGGGTCATGACGGACTGCCGTGAGTTTAAGTGAATTTTGATGTTCGGTGGCAGCAATCTCCTCTGGATTGGTTAGTCCCATCCCTCCCAGTCTTGGTGGAAGTGCAAGTGCTCTTTCTGCTGGGGTTAAGTCAGGGTGTTTCACTAATTTAGGAATGAAATTGACATTGATAACTTCTTCCAGAGGGTGAAGGAGGGTCCGATATCAGGGAGTATGCGCATCACGTAGTTCCAACAATGCTTGATTCCATGGGTGAATGCAGCAAAGGCTGCATGTGGCTCTGTGTTAGCAATCTCAGACAGAGCTTGGATTTCACTAACCCACTCATTCACCTTTCCTGCTCCGTACTCGGTCTTGAAGTCCGTAGTGCCAATTACTCTCTAGATGTCTTTGGCAGTCCTTAGTTATTTTGACCTCACTTCTGCCAAAAACCTCCATTGCCCGTTCATAATATTCTGGCTTCACGATGAGGAAGGACTTGCTGGCGTTTGGGTGGTACCCTATTTGTGGACCTCGCGATGTTACCAAGTCCCACCACTTTTGATGCCCTCCACTCCTGCTCCTGTAAGGTCATCAGCATATGCCACTTGTTTGACCCCAGTTGTATCAAATTTTATTTCTCGTTGGAGCACTGATAGGCCAATTGCATACATTGCCATTGCAACAGGGTCCCCCTGTGTTGTTCTTCGGTTGACTGTAAGATGGTATCACCTCTTAGAGCCTTGTTGTTTACTATGTAGAGGTCTGATGGATTCCTATCAATTTTCAACATAATCGCAAAGCTTGGACACTTGATCTTGATGTTGTGCAGTGCAGCCTTGCGGTTAAGTATGTTGAATCGTTTAAATCCACAGGAGAACGGCCTCACAATCACGCTGCTCAAATATCAATCTCATGGCGTGAATGGCGGCCTCCCGCCAGCCTGGTGGCCAGCACACTACTACTACTGCACTCCAGCCTCCCCCAGCACAGCCAGCCACCATTTATTTACCTTAATATTAAATATCCTAATACGAAGCTATCCTATCTGTGTTAAATTAGTTGAGCCGCAGATCTGTGGCATTCAGTGACTGTAGCCTCATAGTCAATATCTGCAGCAGTTGTTGGAGTAAGGCTACTACTACTACTACTACTTTTTTTTTTTTTAACGTGGCCTCCAGCCTCCCCCAATAGCCACACCTTCGCCACCATTTATTTACCTTAATATTAAATATCCTAATACATAAGAAGCTATCCTATCTGTGTTAAATTAGTTGAGCCGCAGATCTATGCGGCATTCAGTGACTGTAGCCTCGTAGTCGATATCTGCAGCAGTTGTCGGAATTGGGGCAGAAGCTCTCGTTCCCCTGAGGCAGAGCAAAGCCGACCGAAGGAGAGAGAAAGACAGTCGACATCTCATCCAGGCTGTAACGAAACTTCTGGGCTGCTGCTTCTGTTCGGAGATCACCTCCGCGAGTCTGGCGTAGAAACATCTTGCACTTGGTCCCATCCCACCAGAGGTTGTGAACACTAGGGGAGTGAAGCTGCCTTGGTCAACGTTTTGGATTCTCTCCCCATATGCCCTTATCTTGTCGTTCTCGTTCCTCCTATGTGCAGCATCGAGAGCTAGGTTACGGTGACATGCAGCCATGGGATAAAAAATCCTGATGTCAAAGAAAGCTCACTGTCCTCGCGTCCAGAATCCTCGAGCACTGACGTCAACACGGGCTTCGTTAGATGTGTTTGAAGTCCTATGTTGGAGGATCTCATCATCCAATGGAAGGAGGGTCAGTTGTACCATGACATCCTGGCAGATTTCCTTCAACATATTTGCTGTAAGGTCCCTTTCTTCATCATGCCTCATGCATATGAAGCCCCCTTTCTTGCACACCATGGCGTGATCACCGTCATAGGAAGAGCCACACACGCATTGGGAGGGCAAACCTTCTACTGGCCGACCGTACCTTAAAGCAATGGCATCTGTAAATTCTTGTTTGTTAAGACTGAAACCATTTGCCCTTATCGGTAACATAGTTAACCAGTTCGAGGCGCCCACCTCCTGCGCTATAGCTACTTTTTTTTTTTAATTTTCTGGAACCTGCAGCAACAGTTGCTGCAACTTATCATTTTGGCAGTGCTGTCGATCTGTCGTAAAGGACCTATGAATCTCGTTTACTTCACTGGTATCGACCTCCCCTGTTGCGTTCTGGGCTATTATGTGGTCCGTGAGGGCTGCCGTGAGCTTAAGTGAATTTTGATGTTCGGTGGCTGCAATCTCCGCTGGATTAGTTAGTCCCATCCCTCCCAGTCTTGGTGGAAGTGCAAGAAGTGCTCTTTCTGCTGGGGTTAAGTCAGGGTGTTTCACAAGTTTGGGAATGAACTTGACACTGATAGCTTCTTCCAGAGGGTGGAGGAGGGGTCCGATCTCAGGGATGGTACGCATCAGGTAGTTCCAGCGATGCTTGACTCCATGGGTGAATGCTGCAAATGCCGCATGTGGCTCTGTGTAAGCAATCTCAGACAGAGCTTGGATTTCACTAAGCCACTCATTCACCTTGCCTGCTACGTACTCGTTCTTGAAGTCCGTAGTACCAATTACTGCGCCTAGATGTCTTTGGCCGTCCTTAGTTATTTTGACCTCACTACTACTATTACTACTAATAATAATAATAATAATAGTAATAATAATAATTATAATAATAATAATAATAATACACTGATAATAATAATAATTAATAAAAAAATAATAATAACCATAAATAAATAAAAAAATTAAAAATATAAATTAAGAGTGAGAAACAATACACAATACTGCATGTATGTTGTGTTGTAAAAGTAAGAGAAACAATTGAGACCTGCAAATGTGTGTAAATGAGGCAGAAAGTCAGATCAGCAACCTGGGACTTGGTCACAATTTTCGTGATACCATATGGCAGCAGGGTCTACCATTAGACAATACACTATGCGTCCAATATCTTCCCAAGTGCTAGTACCTTCCTGTTTAATAGCTGCCTACTACCTTTTTCACATATGGAGTGTAAAAAAGTAGTAGTATTGGATATTCTGATGAGCAAAAATCTCTTGTTTTTCCCCATTAAAAAACCATAATTTTGAGCAAAATATGACTGTATTTTAATGTACAACTTGTACTCAAATGTACTAAGTTAATTACTAAAACATTTATGTTTAGTACAAACTATGGGATGATTATACTTAAATTAATCACTATCTTGCATAAATTCCAACAACGCAAGTTATATTCTGCTAAGTCAAGTTTTCAATTCAAGATGTTGCCTCATAATATCTAGGATTCACCTCTTTCTTTCTTAAAGCACGAAAGAATAAAAAAAAATAATACCTAGAGCCTCAACCAAAGCTCAATAATCATAAGGATCGAAGTCAATGTCTTCCTCACCATTCGCCTCACTAGCTAAATCTCTTTCACCTTCAACTTAAACTCCACTACTGGATTCCTCACCATTTGCCTCACCAGCCAAATCACTTCCATCTTCAACATAACAGACTCCATTAGTGTATTCCTCTCCATTCCCTTCATGCTTGGTGAACGGGGTGTGACATTTATCTAAACCCTTGCAGTGACAGTAGCAGGTACACGACAGGTCTGCCGTCAAGCAGAAGTTAGGATAAGTTGTGGGTTAGCATTGGGATATTTAATCTTTAAGGTGAAATAAGATGGGGCTAATCTTCAGGTGATCCCAATTTTATTATAAAGTTTTATCTGCCTGAATCCTTTACATTGTATTATAATTCTCTTCACCAACAGGTTGAACTCATTGACTCACAAGGAAATGCTGTCTTGAAAAGTCTGTCAACACCTGTGATGTTCAAGCCCACTTCTCCTTCCAGCAGCTCAACAAGCAAGTCATCTCACACCTTCATAACCACCTTTCCTTTTATTAGCACGACAAAGACAGATGTTACGTCCAGTACAACTCCTTCTCTAATTCAGAGTAAAAGTTCTGAAGAAGATTCAAGGAGTGAGAAGCGACTCCTCAGGCATGGTAGTGTGTCTTTAGGTCCAGTCTTGAAGAACGATGACTTACACGACTTCATGCAAGATCAAGGTTTAGAAGTAGATCTCTTTCCTGAGGGAAGATCAACAAGCTTTACAGAATACTCAGAAAAAAATGAACAAATACAAGGAAACAATGCTGAGCCGAGAGACGTAGTCCAGGGCGTAACTGAAAGACGACTGGTGCCATTGGCGGAGGTTTCTTCCCGAGAAATTCTGACAACAGGAACCTCAGACAGAATATCCCAAGTTATAGTGTGGTGTGTGGGTGTTGGCATAGGTGTTCTCCTTCTCCTCACACTGTGTAGTTTGGTGATATGGTTACTTAACAGATGTCGAAAATCATCTCGAAATGAGGAATATCCCGCAGATAGACTGGAAGGTTTCAGAAGTTCTTATAGGACAGAAATTGCTCAACAGCAGAATGTAAGAAATCAAGCGACGTCTTGGACATTTGAGAACTTCTGTTCAGCGAGTAAAAAATCAAAACTGGCACCAGCAAGAAAGGAAATGGTGGCATCAGGGATCGACAGCGCGTCCCTGGTGGAGAACTACGTCATCATGCTCGAGTCGCCGCCACCTACCAGGAAAATGAGGCCCTAGTCATAAATTATTTGCTTTTGTAATTTTATGAAATAGATACAAACTTTAGTCTTATATTTTTCATTTATTTTCTGGATCTCATTAAATGTCTTACACATAGATAAGATCACTACAGTACTTGGATTCTCATAGGCACATATTTGCTCGTGGTATTTCTAGCACTGGGTGTGTAACTTAAAAGACTTCCATGCATGTGTCAAGGTATACTGTACTAATATTCTACACTTTTCCAGTATGATATTTGTATTACTAAGAGTTAATGAAATCACAATCTTGAAAAATGTGTTAGACATTCTGTTTGTACACTGCACTGGTTGTCATTATTCATCAGCACATGACAAAAAGCTTACATAGTTATCCTGTACTGTGTAGTCTTTCATCGTACTTGTGTTCATTCATACCTTCATTTACAAGTCATAAAGATTGATCTTTTCTACATTTACATTATAGCATTAATAAAACAATGGTTCAGAAATATAGTCATTAGTTAGAGAGTACATGTTGATCTGGTCACAGGTCTCAACACTCTATCATTTACATCATCACATTAACTATATTGTTTGCAATCCTCAACACACAAGTCAGTTCCTCAATGCACAACATGCAAGTCAATCCACAACAGTCAATTCTCCTATACATAAAGTCTACAGTAGTTGTCAAACACAACAAAACAAATTACATTCTAAGAAGATATTAAAAAGATTCAGATAAATTTTTCACCTAACAGATAGAAACACTAATTACATTGTCTTACTTACTGTAATCTATTAGTATAAAAGTCTAGTGCTGTTTTACCGCCGTTATCTTTTGTAGGTTAACTGTAAAAAGATGTCAACAGTTGTGTAAGTTGATGACTAAACTGGTGTTATGGCAGATGCTGTGTAGGTATACATCATCTCAACATCTACGGTACTTTAGTCCAGTCAACTGATAAAAATATTTTAAATGGCAGAAATTGGAATATTAAATAGACGAAGACTTCCATTAAACAATAACATTATTTATCTTTATGATACACTGTGTTGTGTACTATAACAAAAAGTATATGTTAAATCCACAACCACACACAGTTATTGAAGCATTATAGCCACAACCACAAACAGTTATTGAAGCATTATAGCCACAACCACACACAGTTATTGAAGCATTATAGCCACAACCACACACAGTTATTGAAGCATTATAACCACAACCACACAGTTATTGAAGCATAATAACCACAACCACACAGTGTTATTGAAGCATTATAACCACAATCACACACAGTTATTGAAGCATTATAACCACAATCACACAGTTATTGAAGCATTATAACCACAACCACACACAGTTATTGAAGCATTAAAACCACAACCACACACAGTTAATGAAGCATTATAACCAGACCAGACACTCTGCCACACCCAGATGTGTACCCGACGAACATGACTTGAGTGGGAGGTATTCTTGTTGTCTATGGAAGTGAGAAATAATGTATCGAATCTTAGTTTCAAGCCGCATCAGTTGCTTTATAAATACCAGTCTTGACTTAACTGACTGATTGACATACCTGCTGAGAGAACTGTTGGACTAGCCTGTACTGATACTGGCAACATTATTTATATACTACTGTAAGGAGTCATTTGCACCAAAGACTAACTAATTTTGTATATATATATATATGTATATATATATATATATATATATATATATATATATATATATATATATATATATATATATATATATATATATATATATATATATATATATATATATATATATATATATGTGTGTGTGTGTGTTTTTATGTTAAATATTGTATAACTGTGAACTTTATTAATCTGTCACAATTATTAAGGAATACTTTCAGATTATCAGTGAAGCACAGCTATGCAAATTGTAAAACATCAGGAGTGAATAAAGTGAAGACAATGGCGACAAACCAACACTAAAATAACACCGAGTCAAAACTTATAGACATAAAATTTATGTGATATTCTACACAACGTGATTTTAGCACTGGAATTAAGATGTAACATTTTTTGCAATTACTGTTGTGGGTCAAATGGGTCAAAACTTACACCAACCTAACCATATGGAGTGAGTGTAATACCTATAACCTATTGTTTGGTTAAGTTGGATATAGCCTGTATGAAACTTGGGCCCATTAGACCAGCACACGTTTATTAATGTTAGCTGGCTGGTGTACTGTAATTCCACACCTTACGCATGAGCCTTCCTACTTGACAACGAGTTGGGTTTTACCTGAAAAAGAAAGAATCATCACCATAAACAGTGAATCATTATAAACATTAGCATTTGTGACTGTATTCGAAACCTTTACAAAATCTAACTAGGAGTGAGAAGAGGAATGTCTAAGCAATGGTGCTCTTTATTAAGACATATTAAGTGAGCAACACATTACTAAAGTTATGCTGTACTGTACACACGATCAGTAAAACTTTTATGTTGACCAAAGTATAAATTATATCACAGCAACTTTATATACTTTAATAATAGAATGAGAGATATTACTTCCAGTACTTAATACCGAGTGTTACTGAAGAGAAATATCAACTCTCTCAACTACTGCAGTGTTAAAGCAGGGGGCTGGAAAGGTCCTCTCCCAGCAGAGGTTTAGGGCACACTGTATGATTAGTTTTGTGAGACTTAAGTTACAATACAAAATATGAGAGGAAGTTCATTAATGTATTGTGTACAGTACATAATCTTTCAATGATAAACACAATCACCCTGCTTTAAGATTTATATATATATATATATATATATATATATATATATATATATATATATATATATATATATATATATATATATATATATATATATATATATATATATATATATATATATATATATATATATATATATATATATATATATATATATATATATATATATATATATATAAGAGTATATATACCTCAACCTCAGGATTCAACTCACGCCTACTTGAGCTCATGATCAGACCAGGCCATAAGCTCGCTTGAACAGGCTTTGTGTGAAATATAAACAGAGTCTAGGACTGCTTTAGTATCCTGGTGGTCCAGAGGTAGCTGCCCTGTCACAGTCATGGGCTTGTGGGCCGGGGTCTGAATCCTGGAGGGTTGAGGTGTTGATAGTATGTAGAAGTCCGCGTGCTTTTATTAATGAAATATATATATATATATATATATATATATATATATATATATATATATATATATATATATATATATATATATATATATATATATATATATATATATATATATATATATATATGCACAACGGCATCTTTAATTTCTGCTATATGTCCAAGTTAGTAGAACAATATTTAATTTAGGTAGAAGATTAAACAGTAATTTAGCCGCTGAAAATGAGAGTTGAATGATGTCCAAAATTTCAACAGAGTGTTTATGTGGTTGGTTTTATTGACATTGACATTCACAGTGTTTCTCTTGATATACTGTATATATATATATATATATATATATATATATATATATATATATATTTTTTAGTATCAGACTTTGAATAGAATCAACGACCCACCTGAGCAAGCGAATCCAACTGCTTTTAGTGTCCTTGTGGCCTAGCCAAGCATTCCCTAGTCACACCCAGTAGGTCGAGGGTTCGATTCCTTGCTGGTGAGGTCGTTGATTATATGTTCAAAGTCCGCGTGTTATATGGACTAAAATGAAGTATATATATGTACCTCGCGTTTCATACCAGCTGGATTCGGTAAAATGCTACTGACACCACATAAGAGGCACGGGCAGTTTCCCATTGAGGTTCACGGCGCCATCAGCTCGATGAACAGGCTTTGTGTGAAATATAACAGAGTCTAGAACTGCTTTTAGTGTCCTTGTGGCCTAGCCGGTAAGCGTTCCCTAGTCACACCCAGTAGGTCGAGGGTTCGATTCCTTGCTGGTGAGGATTATATATATATATATATATATATATATATATATATATATATATATATATATATATATATATATATATATATATATATATATATATATATATATATATATATATATATATATATATATATACTGTATATATATATATATGCTGATAACCACAAGAAAGGAAGAAAACACGAAGTTCCCACACGTGAATTACACGAAAGCGTTTTGGAACTTCGTGTTTTCTTCTTTCCTTGTGGTTATCGGCATATACCTAGATCACGCGCACCTACAGTGATTTACTAGTATATATATATATATATATATATATATATATATATATATATATATATATATATATATATATATATATATATATATATATATATATATATATATATATATATACATTGTATAATAAAAAAATCTCTATTTTGACATTTGTTTCTTACAGTGAGGCCTGATATTGTACATAATGTTCCTATTGCTTCTATATGTGTTGATCAGCGAGTTACTGTGCTTGCTTCTGTCTCAGGGCCGAGTGTACATATTTGTTAAATTAATCTATAGGATTTGCTGTTATAGTGTACATATACGTTGAATAATAATCTGTAAAGAATTTGCTTGTTTCCATTATTTCCATCATGAATATACACACACACATACACACACACACACTACTACTACTACTTTGCTGTGATGCCTTGCTATGAGCAATGATACGAGTCATTAGGGATGTCACCTTCATTGGTGAGTTTTGAGGTGGCTAAAGAGGCCGATATGGGACCTGTAAAGTTGTTCACAGATGTTGCACCACATGTGGAGGGCTACATCGAGTGCGGTGCCAGCGTCTTTCCGGCGTTAGCACTTGTCTGCCTCAGTTTGCAGTCGGGCTAACTCGAAAGTATTGACACATTCTCGTGTGGTGCTCCTCCAAGCGTTACGATGTGGAGTAATCGTCTTCCAGGTGAGGGGGTCAATTTAGCACTTTTTCAGGTTTGTCTCAAGACTATCCTTAAACCGTTTCCGTTGTGTGCCAGAGTTACTTTTATCCTGTGCTAGGTAGCTATAAAGTAGCTGCTTTGACAGTCTACTGTCGTCCATGCTGGTAGCATGGCCAGTCCAATGTACAGTAGTTGTTCATGGATAATGGTAGCCTCGATGCTCCTACAGTTGGTGTAAGCAAGAATACTGGCATTTGTTCTCTTGTCTTCCCAGCTAACCTGGAGGATGGAACGTAGATTACGTTGGCGAAAGTTTTCAAGTGCTTCCTGTATGTGATCGAAGTCTCACTGCCATAAAGCAGGGTGGGGTGGGCCACTGCTCTATATGCTTGAGATGCACATCTCAAAAGTGGGTAACAGTAGAGAGGGTAGTACCCTGTAAGATGGATGGATGGTGGAGGTGTGTCTTACGTACATTCCCTCAAGGCAGAAGTGTACTTACGCATCTGCATAGGTGTTCAGGATCTCCTGTCGGTCGTATTCCGTGTGAGCAACAAGAGTGAGGTCGTCTGCATATTGAAGTTCACTAATGGAAATTGTTGACACCTTTGTTCTTGCTTGGAGTCGTCTTATGTTGAAAAGACCCTTCATCCGGTCCTCGATGTCCACCCCGCCGGCTAAATTGGTACTGGCACGAATGAGGAAAGCAGTCAAGAAAATGAAAAAATGATTTGGTGCTTGTACACACCCTTGTCTAACCCCTGTTTGGATGGGGAAAAGCTCAGACTGGGTGCCATTGTGCACGACACTGCCGTTCATGCTATAGGAAAGATGAGTTTTGGGGGCAGCCAAAACGGCTAAGGGTCCACCAGAGGGTTTCCCTGTTGACCGAACCGAAGGCCTTGGTTAGGTCAACGAAAGCCATGTACAGGTCATGACGCTGTTCTCTGCACATTTCCTGTATCTGGCAAGTAGCAAAGATCATGTCAGTGGTGCCACGTGATGGATTAAAGCCACATTGAGATTCTGGGAGGAAGTTTTCCGCCTCAGGAAGAAGTCTGTTTAAAAGGACTCGGGCAATAATTTTTGCAGTTACGGACAGCAGCGAGATCCAGAGGTAGTTGCCACAGTCTGACAGGTCTCCCTTGTTCTTATAAATATTGATGATGGAGGCGTCTTTAAGAACTTGGGGGATTTCCTCCTTTCCCCATAAATTCTCCAGTACAGAGAGGAGATTGCAGGTAATCAGAGGTCCTCCTGTTTTATACACCTCGGCTGGGATTTCATCAGGCCCTGAGGCTTTGTTATTTTTCATCTGTTTGATGGCAGTAGCTACCTCATCCAGAGATGGAGGATAACTGAGGTGGGTCAGCTCTGGATGCTGAGGGACCTGCTGGGTAGTCAGGACATCCACATCAGTGTTTCGGTTGAGCAGTGAATGGTAGTGCTCTTTCCAGGGCTGGAGGAGGCCTTCATCGTCTTTAACTATTAAGTTACCTTCGGATGAGCGGATGGGGCTGCGTCACGAGTGATTGGCTCATAATATGTTTTGGTGGAATTATAAAATTTCGTGTATCTTGTGCTGATCTGTAATTTTTTGTGTTTCACATGCTTTGTTTTTAAACCAGTCATTCTTTAGATTGCGAAGTTCCCGCTGGACCACAGCTTTCTTCTTGGGGAAGGTATGAGCTATGGTCAGAGACTAAGGGTTGTTCTGCCAGTCAGTTAAAGCAGCACATTTATCATTGATGAGTACATTGATTGTTGGGCCATCTCCATCAAACCAGTCCTGGTGTAT